TACAGATATTAGATATAAATAATCAGTGAGCCTGTCTTTGTTTTCTTCTAAGAATAGCAAAATTTCAAGTGAGATTTTTACGATATAAGATTATTATGATATAATCTACATAATATGTAATATCTCTTATTAAAAATCTATTTAGATAGATACTTAAGTATATGGTGCTATTTAAAGAGACATGAAAATAATGAACCTAAATAATAGAATAAAAGATATAAATTAAAATCTTCTTATTATATTCACGAGCACTGTGACAAAATGTTATGGCCACCGTACCGACTCCCCTTCAGGTCGGGTCGATGTGGCCGAGGGTGGGGGGGTTAGCACCTTTTGTTTAGGACCCCTCCCCCTGCTCATTTACTCGCGTACTCTCAATGTTGTTTGCAAAAGGTTTAGGTGCCTAAATGTAGAGGGAAATGTCACGGTTTCACTTTTAAAGAATCTCTTGTTATAAAATATTGCACGCGATCAGTATTTTATGGTAAAAGCAACCCCTATTTTTCTGTAGATTTTATTGTCCGATTCGACTCAAAGTATTGTTATAATGTATTATAACAAGTTTTTATCTTAATCTAACATGCATCAAAGGTTCAATGTACTTATGCAAAACTTCAGATTTAAAGTTTTCTTTATTTTAGTAATGTTTATTTTGTATTTTTGATAATAGTAGGTACATAACACAACTTTGAAGGGTATTTTATTCGTTTCATTACAGATATAATACTTATAGTGAGTATAAAATGTAAAATTGTAAATAATCCTAAATGATTACCTACTCGTTACAGCAAAACTCGTACATTCCGCGAAAAGACGGCAAGTTTGAACAAGTTGGGGTAACTCTGAGAAGTAATACGATACCTCTTACGAAATATCAACTCGGGTTATAACAATAGTATTGTTTGTAACAATTTTGTTCTCTACACAGTTATTTGTAGTTTATTTTGTTTTTTTTTATTTTGCAAAATTTATCAATTACCTACGCTTATTCTATTTTCTTTATTTTATAATGCTTATGTAAATGTAGAACTCAAGCATATTTTGTAGGTACCTATTAAGGTACTTAATAGGTACAAAATATAATTTTTTAAGGAGATTTATTTGAGAATGCCTAATAGTAAATTGTTTATACTAATTTTAAAATAGAAATATACAAATTACTTAATTTAAAATACAAATATTTTTAATAGTCTATGAAGACTTTAAATATGTAAAACTTCCGTTGCGAAAGAACTTTCTCGTATTACTAACTACTTTGTAGTTGTAGAGTAGGTATAGTGTTATTTGAAAATACTTTAATACCAGAAACGAATTCCATGACTTTTTAAATTTTAACCGTATTTTTTATGTAGTAGGTACGTACCTACGTAGCATATCTTTTTTGAAACAGGAGGTTTCTATTGCTTTTATTTTCAAGACGGCCAATATACATTAAAAACTTATTTGATAAAAAACAACAGTTTCCTACCACAGATATTTTTAACTTACTAGGAGGCTCTCAACCTTGTCCCATAAATATAATTCTGTTATCAACTAGATCAAATAATTTCATTTCATTACAGGTACAAAATTGATATATAATTTATTTACTAAATCAATAATAAGTACTTTTTATTTTTCATGTTACATATACAGTGTTCGTAACCATACCTTCTTTGTCTAAATCACAGCACAGCTAAAAATAAATCCGTCTCAAATCGATCGCTTGGTTGACGCTGCGGGTGTGTGACTCCGCCCACATTTCACACGAGAGGTGATGATTGGCCGAGCCCAATACGCACACAGGTATATTCAAGATGGTAATGAATATATTTTTTAGATTTTTACATTTGTTTCATTATATTAACGTTCTTTGATTGTTTTCACCTATTCAATACTACCTATCTTTTCCTCACAGTAACTAACACATTAAATTAGTATATTATTAAACCAGAATAATTCAACTTTACGAGTATATCTCTAGCAACAAAAACATGGGACTTTCATATAAGATACCCTTTAGAGTATTACCTTACTTCGTCCTTATCACAAAATTTGTTCTTAGCTAACATCTCCTACGTAAAACCTACCTACATAGGTACCTGCTAATTTTCAGCTTCATAGTTAAATTAGTTTCAGAGATTTCGTGTTTAGTCAGATGCAATAGATATGGTAAAGATATCCTATTCCTCTATATGGGTAATACAGTCCCTGTCTATATCTAATATATACCTAAGCGACTTAGTATTATTGTATTATACTATAGGTAGGTAAAAATTTTAATTCGCGGCAACGATTCTATATTAAAGCATATTTGTGCAAAAATACTTAATATCTACCTAAGTAAATAGGTATATATAAGTTGTATAATCTTTATCGTCTACTAAACGAAACAAGTGCCGAATATAATTGTTTTGAATTACTTTTAAACGCCTTCAAAAGAAAGAAATCAAAAGAAGAATAGGCTGTATTTTTTTAATTAAATATTTTTTTTTGGTGCGTACAAAGCATCCATACATGCTAATAGACAACCCACATTTAATCGGTTTAGTTTCGTCTTCACTATACTCATAATATTATGTGTATGTAAGTATGTAGGTACCACCACTGACATCAAAGACCACAAAGGCATAAGGTAATAATACATACTAATAAATATTAAAAAAATTGACTACCTACTAAAAAATAAGGTATTTTTATGAAAACCTAATGACAACGAGGTTTGTTAAGTAGGGAGTAATGTCTACAAAACTGCCTCGGTGGTGTAGTGGCTAGCATGTACGGCTGCACACCCGGAGGTCCTGGGTTCGAGTCCGGGTCGGGCCAAGTTTAGTTATTGAGTCTTCCTGTATAGTAAGTCTCAGTAACAGCCCGGAGTTGGGAAGTTGGCGGTGTTTCACCCCCGTGCCTCGGAGAGCACGTAAAGCCGTCGGTCCTGCGCCTTAACTCTCACCGGTCGTGTCGAGTGGTGGTCCCACCGGAGTATGAGAGTGATAGGAATAGAGAGTGCACTTGTGTCTGCGCGTACACTTGAGCACTATAATATCTCCTGCGCAGTTGGCTAATCTCATTGAGATTGGCCGCCGTGGCCGGAATCGGCTAGGAGAACATCATCATCATCATCATCAATGTCTACAAAATCGCATTAGACATACTATACCTATACGTTTTATGATATACTTAGGCACTTTAAAAAGGTACCTATCTGTAAGCAATAATACGAATTTTACTTAGCGACCTATATAATTTTTAGTTTAAGATATTAACAAGAAAAGTTTATATATGAAGGATTTATATAACATAATTAAAGATATAAGATAAATGTATATACATGAATGTATATACATTTATCTTATATCTTTAAACGAGCAATTCGTGTATATATATAGTCTGCATATATGTACATACCTACAAGTAACACTAAATGCACATACCTAACACTAAAGTTGACTAAACTTTTATGAAACTCTTTTGTAGTGTAAGAATTAAAAACTATAAATTCAACACAAACATTGCACCGCTATTAGCATATAATAATACCTATATAATACAGTATCGTTATACTTATACCAACTAAATATTTTTTTATTAATCCAATTAGGTAACTTAACTTTAATTCAATAACTTACTTTACTAGGTACTTTAAAATGATAAATGCTAATGTATGAAAAGTAACAAATCAAATAAAGCTTTATATAATTTTTAAGCCAATTCAAATACAAGTGTCTTTAAACGTTTATCCTATTATTGAAAAGGAATATTTAGTCATAGGGCTCTTCTAATAGACCTCAGACTAAGGTATGATATAGACGGAGTATCATAGAACTAAATATGTAGCCAAATTGTAAGGTACAGAAATATCTTTTATTTTCTGAAAAAAGTAAACAAGCACTTTGGTAACATTGAAAATAGTAGCTTAAACGGCAAGATCACGCTACTATTTTTTACTTTAACATTTTATTTGGCAGCTCTGTCTAACTATACACATAATAAAAATGTAACTAAGCCGAATCTGTATATTAAATATTTTTTGGAAAATCTTATTGAAATAGACGTTATTATCGATTCAGAGGCTGAATCTATAGTTTTTAGAATTTTTGTCTGTGTGTCTGTGACCGCATCATGGAAAAATCACAGGAGGAATTTTGAATGAAATTTGGCATGATGATAGCTGGTTATCCGGGTCAACATATTGGATACTTTTTACTGCAGGAAAATATCTCATCTCTGAGATATCTATACTAAACGTTAAAACGTAAGTTGGGACGAACCCGACCGCATATATATATATATATATATATATATATATATATATATATATATATATATATATATATAATTCTATAGTCTAAATAATAGACATGAAACTTGCAGCACGTTAGGTGCAAATTAAATAATATTCACAATAATCACACCTCATTCGCTGATATAAAAGACAAATCGATGCTAATATAAACTACAGAACATATCAAAGGGACGATAAACCATTACTTGCTGTAGCATTAACAAAAAAAAACACTTGAAATCTAATTCCGATTCCATACAATCGTACAGCAGATGCGCACGCATGAACAAAGGCACATTTGTACGCTTTCGTAATACATCTAATTTTACGGCTACGTATTATGCCTGTTGCGTTTTGTTCGCGCCCTGATCGACAGATCTGATAATTTAAATATGGAAACGTATCTGAGCGTGATGTGCCGGCGCAGATTCAGACATGAACGAATAACATATGCACGTTTTAGCTTAAAAGGATGTTGCATGAAATTTTACGGCGTAAAAACGATTTTTGAAAAAAGGTAAATACCTATAATAAAGCTAAAATATTTTCTTTATACGAAATTGTAAGAATAGTTGACGGTGAACTACTGTGATAAGTAATTTAAGAAACAGTGTCGAGATTTCATATTTCTTATAAATTGTAAAATTATATATAAGAAATGTAATAGAAATTATGATTTCTTACATGAAAACCTTTGGTAATTAAAAATACTTTAATAAATAATATTATTACTTACCGAAGTTCTGCTTAGTGAAGAGAGGTGCAGTGAAGGTTGTGTTAGTTTTGTTCGGACTAGGTTGCTGTTTTTCGGGGTCAAGCTCTGGATGAATCTCGACCACTGATTTTTTGATATTTTCTGAAACCAATGAATTGTTAATAGCTAATATTTATCATTAATTTGTAATGAAGATCTAATGATAGATATTTTGAAACATACCTACACATTTATTCGATATCTTTATTTTTAAAAAACGACAACGTCCCATATAAAAATAAAGGTTTCTGTAAATTGCAAGAGTGATTTATTTTTTACAAATAAAATTTTCTTTTAACGAACCTACATTAATCAACTCAGATCAATAAACTTATCTATTTCTTTAAAGTTAGCTTGTTATTGACAAATAAAGTAAAACTAAAATATAGATAGACTTTGTGCTCTTAATCTATACTAACATTGTAAAGAGGTAATGTTTGTGAGGTCGTAGGGGGTAATCTCTGGATCTACTGAACCGATTTAGATGACATTTGGTAAGAATATAGTTTGAAACCCTGGGAAGGACATCAGATAGTTTTTATCCCGGAAATCATCACTTAAGGGGGGAGGAAATGGGGATGAAAGTTCGTATGGGGAACAAACCTAGAGACGAACCCGAGCGAAGTGAGGCTGAGTGGCCATGTATCAAACAGTTTTTTCGAATTTTTTCGCGGATTTATTTGCTCCCGACTCGGTTTCGAATGCTTTATAGCAATCATGATCACGGAAGAGAAAGTATTAAGTAGACATAAACTAACTTTTCTAAGTTTTGTAATGTGTTATTAACTTTTATCATCGTCATTGTATTATAATTATTTTTCGTGTTTACATTTAGCAATACAGACAATCAACTTCTCGTAAAAATATAAAATTATATATTGATAAAAACGACTTGGTCACTTTGAAAATATATGATTTCGAAAATGTTTACTAATTGCTCTTAGGGACAGAACATTGAAATTGGAAAGGAAACCGAAAATTTCATATTTCCTAAAACAGCCGTCGGAAACCGCTAACCCCTCCCCTCTTCGACACAAAGAGCTGTAAAATCCGTGCAATTTGTACCCTCCACTCTTAACGTACGTATATACTTATCGATTTATCGCAAGCACAAGTTCGTGTTTTAAAAAGTCAAGTTTGTCTGGATCATGGGACTTTAACCTTTAATACCCAGAGTTAAAATCTAACTTTGGTTAATCCAAAATTGGCGTTTAGAGCTTTTCGCTTTAGTGGGTGTGTGTAAAAATGCCGTCTTGTAGGCACACCGCCCCTCCCCGGGTGACATTTTTACAAGTGGGGGAGGGGGGAGGCCACCCGGACGCTCTCGTCATTTCGTTGTCATCCAGGGGCTCCTTTTTGCGCGATCACGACGCGGCGTCGACAATACTGTTCAGTATTTTTATTCTTTTCGAGAAGAAAATGCGAAAAAAACTCGTAGAAAATCATGAACAATGCCGCCCTTGGGCGAGATTACCGCCATCAGAAAATGAATGCTTTGTTAGATCCGTCCACCGGGATGTTTTCAGTTGTTACATTAGACTTGTCATTTCCATTAGAGGGCTGAGCCGGGCACGAGATGTCGCCGAACCCGCCTACGTCTTTATTTGCGTTTCAATTACGAAAGTGCTTTGTAACAATCATTTTTATAAAAGTATACAAACACATCACTACTTGTATAAATTAGTAAAGATTAAAAAAAAAGTTTGCATGGATGGAGAAGAATCGAAATTACGAAGACATCGTATGGCTATTGGTATATGAAATAAGTAACATAAAAAAAAACAAAATAGTAATCTACACATGGTGTTATTTGTAGATAGAGATACATAGTAATAGTTCTTTTAAAAAGGATTGTCATTGTGTTTTTGAGACAAATGTTTTTTTTTATTAAACATTTTAACCCTAATTATATACTTGAATTGCTAATACATAGATTATATTTCTAAATTATTTTAACTGCAAGCGTCTACTTTAAATTACACTCTATGGTCGTAATTGTATGCACAAAAGGAATACCTAAATAACATCGTAAGACAATACTCCTTCGGTTCGGCTATCGAAAAGAGGTTATAATGAAAAAAATAAGTCATTTCGGCTAAACTCAAAGCTATATAGCCTTTATTATTAGGGCGTGCAAATAAAAGCGGGCGATGTAATGCGATGCTCTTAGAAATCGGTAGCGTGCAAAGCTTTGTCTTCCGCCGCGCATCACTACCAATCATATCACATTTGAAAGAAAGGTGTTCATAACGCTTGGTTAAGGGTAAATGGTTCTTAAAAGGGCTAAAATGGAAGGCATTATTATTTATACATATTAAAATTATAACTAAACTAGAGACTCGGGTTCGTCCCTGCATACGTTTTAACGTTTAGTATAGATTTCTCAGAGATGAGATATTTCCCCCCAGTGAAAAGTATCCTATATGTTGGCTCGGATAACCAGCTATCATGATACCAAATTTTATCAAAATCCCTCCAGTGGGTTTTCCGTGATGTGGTGAACAGACAGACAGACAGACAAAAATTCTAAAAACTATAGATTCGGCCTCTGTATCGATAATAATGTCCATTGCAATAAGATTTTCCAATAAATGTTTAATGTACAGATTCGGCTTAGTTACAAATTTATTATATATATGGATTAATAGTTAAAATTAGGCACTACTTTACTTGTTCCACTATTCTATTTTACCATATTTCATAATAATTAACCAAATCTCAAATTAAGTAATTGGTTAGGTCCAACCTAGCTAACTAGGCTTTCTATAATCTATTAGACAAAATTATGAGAGCTATTAATAGCTTAACAATTCTCAATAGACTTGAAGCTAGTATAATTAGTCTATGTTAGATTATTTGATAACTCGTCTGAAGATGTTTAATATTTTAAGGAGTTTAGGGCTCAGGGTTTATAAGAACTATTTAAATTAATTTAAAAATATTTTTGGACGTTAATTGAACGCGTTTCTACGAATCTTTTTACACTACCTGTTTAATTAAAACCATTTGTATGCCATTTATTGCAATATTATATATACGTCTGTTGTAAAAAAATAAGAATACAGAAATAAAAAACCCGACTGCGTAAAAAGCAACTAAAAAGATGAGAACAAGTTAACGAAGGAACATAGTATTTTAATTTTTTTTATTTACAGCTTTTAAATTTTGGTCAGTTAGAAATTTTTATTTTTATTTAACAAGAAATTGTTTTTGTTTTTTATTATAATTATTTTAAACATATAAGTTGTTTATATTTTTTGTAATCGCCTCTTTTGATTCGGACGAAAAAAAATTTTCAAGACAGAAATTTGCGCCTAAGATCTGCCATTTTAATTTTTAAATGCCTATCTATGTATCCTATCACACTTGCGTTATCGAGACGAATTTAACGACGTATGAATCATTAAAATAGGTCTTTTATTAATTACGAGGGAACATAGGGTTGGACACACATACGAGTGCAAACACATAATCCTCCTTTGAGCTTCGCCGCAGTCGAGTAAATAAGTATAAGTAAAAATTGATAAATTATGATTTTTTAAATTTAATGTGGAGTAAAGTGAACCAAAAAATTTAATTTTTCATTTAGCCTTTTTTTAAAACGCAATCGAAATGGGTTAATAAATCGTTATGGTAAAGTACAAAATTGACGATTTATATCAAGATAGTTAAAAATTATAACATTGTAAACATTGACAGTCTGCGCAGAGGGAAAGATTTACGATTACAATCGAACATTGGTTCTTCATAACACGCAAATTATATTTTTTATAGGATCTTGAAATGTTTGTTTCCATTAGTCAATAACAATAAAAAGTTTCTTGCGTATGTACGTAATAGGTAGGCACTTACCTAGTGACTTAAGATATTTTAATTCTGCCAAAAAAAAAAAGATATGTACCTACATAACAGAGCTTTCTGAAAGTTGGTAGACAAACTTAGTTTTGTTTAATAATTTTATAAAACAATCATAATATTATCATACATATCGTATTGAATGCGCTAAGATAGGTAATACCTATAGCTTGGTTACAAAAATATTTTTCTAATCAATCAAAATCACGTATACCTGAACGATTCAGATTTAAATAGAAACAAAATTATAGATATATATTTTTTTTGTATTTGCTTGCCATATACATTCACTATTTCCGTTGACACGATTAAAATCACTGGCTAGGCAGTTTCTTTCTTATAGATTTATTATGGAAACGCAGTCTAATTTCCGTGTCTAATAAACGTTATCGGAAAAGCGAGCGATGGGTTTCGTACCGTGTCGAGCGCGATAACCCTTTATCAGATGGGGTGAGCGAGTGATGTCGCCGACTGCAGGTACTCTGTATTTCATTACCGCAATATTTTTTGTTAACTAGCACTGTTTAAGAGTGAACTAGAAATATTTAAGGAAATAAGTGTAACAGTTAATCCATACTAATATTATAAATGTGAAAGTTTGTGAGTTTGGATGTATGGGTGTTTGTTACTCTTTCACGCCAGAACAGCTGAACGGATCTGGGTGAAATTTGGCACAGAGATAGATTATACTCTGGAGTAACACATAGACTAGTTTTTATACCGGGAAAATGTACGGTTCCCGTGGGATAGATTTGTTTGTGTTTTTAGAGGCGAACCCAAGCGAAGAGAGGGCGAGCCTCTAGTTATAGCTTCTAACCTTCGCTCCCCTCGGGTTCGCTCCAAGTTGCATCAACAGCAGCCTGTGTTACTTCAGGTCATAGTCTATCTATATACGAAATTTCTTCCAAATAAAAAAAAAGCAAATTTAACGTTAAGGAGTAACAAACATATATAAACATACAAATTTTCGCATTCAGAAATATAATTATTGTAACCTGCCACGAGGAAATAACGTTGTTTTTAACTTTGTTTTAATTTATTTTCTTTGTATTAGACATAATTTTAATTGCTTTAAGTTTAAACTTAAAGTTATAAAATTATGTGTAAGGTATGTAGGTAAAAATAAGTCTATGGAGTAATTTAATTTCGTTGTGAATATTGAAGAAAATTGTGCTATTTGTTGTAGACATTTTATAATACTAAGAAATAGATCTAGAATAATTGAGACGGATGAAAGAAGCATGTTT